TCATAGACCCTGGGGTGTAGACTTTGGTTGGTAGCTCCTTGACCATTGACCCTGGGTGGAAGCCCCTTAGGTGTAAACCCTTGATCATAAACCCTGGGATGGTAGACCCTGGCGCACCCTGGGCTGTAGACCCTGGTTGGTAGCTTCTTGACCATAGACCCTGGCTGGAAGCCCCTAAGGTGTAAACTCTGGGTCATAGACCTTGGGACGTAGACCCTGGCACACCCTGGGCTGTAGACCCTGGTAGGTAGTCCTTTGACCATAGACCCTGGGTGGAAGCACCTTAGATACAAACTCTTGGTCATAAACCCTGGGATGTAGACCATGGTAGGTAGCCCCTTGACCGTAGGCCCTGGGTGGAAGCACCTCAGGTGTAACCCCTTGGTCATACATCCGGTGTTGTAGACCCTGGTAGGTAGCCCTTTGAGCATAGACCCTGGGTCTTTGACCTCGGGATCTAGACCTGGCCCATAGACCCCTGGTACTGTTACTTGATGTTTGGTGTCCCATTGGGTAACAACAGATGATTGATGACTACAGTGTTGGATTATGGTGGAATCCGATTTCCTTTAACAATGCTTGATGATCAGGGTTCACCATTAATTTATTATCTTTTTGTGACAGATTGTCCAGTTAGGCTAAGCAGTATGGCTGCCTTTTTTTCTTCTTATTTAGTGTAATGATAAAAACTTTCAGTGGGCTACTGATTAAAACATATTGCCCAACATTGGTCCTTACCCCTTAGTCCTGCGGTATAATGTCACTGTACAGGGTTTCTGAGATTTACTAGAGGTTGTAGCCAATTTTTTCAAGTCCATTATAAGTCAGTCACATGCTATCCACTATGTAGTCAAGTCACTAGATGTTGAAAGTCAAATGAAGTAGCATGACAGTATCTCTCTGTCCTCTGTTGCTTGTGACTTTATTTGTGATGAGACTTGTCTACAAATTGGACTGTAATTTCAATTTTCCACTTTTATTCTTGGAGCCAAATTTTTATTGAAGTGTGCTTTCGCCATTGTGTCATGTATATTCATTGTGTTCAATGTTGGGATGTAGTCAAAGGTGGCAGAACGATTTTCAAAGTGTGGGGGGCAATTGGTTAGACCATCACACATCAGCCATTAAAGGACCAGTCCAAAATTGGCGGTCGAAAAAGGGGAAACCAGCAGGTCCCCTGAGCCCTCCCCCCCCGCTTTTACCGCCAGTGTACTGTGTGTTCTTGTGGTTTTCTGCGCACAGTATATTACTGTGTGTAGATGTGCATGTCTTGCCACCAAAAAACAATTACTTTTAAAGAAAGTTTTCCAAAGAAGTGCTGACGGGTTTTTGTATTTGAAAGTAAGGCTCTAAAAATCCCAACGTCAAATAACATCTGTACGCTGTGTGATGTATGTTTTGTCAGTAGAATCCAAAGATACAAAGTGGCCGAGCAGACAATTTTAAGACTGCCCCATCTTTTGCTTCCAGATTGCCTTGTTGCATAAAGCTCAATTTGATGTCGTTAGGTCTGGGGCCTAGTCACTGACTCCTTCTAGGGTGAAAGATTAGTGAGTCCTTTGGGAAGAGGAGGTATTGAAAAAAAGAACAGTGGTGCAAAGATATGTGGACTCATACCTCTAAACTCTTTTTTTAAACTGTTCAAGTGTTAATCGGCTTTTTGAAGTAATGAAATTAGGAAATGATGGGAAAAGATAAACTTGTATGAAATGCATACCCGAATTACCCAAAAAGTCAATCTGAAGTCTGAGCATGAAAGTGGAAACAAAGGCCCAAGACAAGCGTGAAGTGTTGCTCCTGTATCCTCGCCCCATTGGCTTTGAGAAGGTTTCACAACAGGTGGAAGGAAAATTAAGTAATCACCTCCTGACCTGACCATGCCACTCGTAAACATTTCAGAGAGTGGCTAAGCTGTGAAAAGCACTTCTCTTGTGGAATTGATAAGCAGAGTAAAATTTATAACCAATTTTTTTGCGCAGTCCAAGGGGTTAATACCAGCAGACATTTCAGTTGTTGCCTACAGTTAGTTTGTGGTTAATTAAAATTCTTGTTAATTATGTATAATTTGCTTACACGTACCAGTAATGTGCTTACCAAAATTATATATTCGGCCTAGTTACTCCTTGAAACGGTCCCCATTGCGTAAAAGTGCATCAAAGGTAACAGCAAAAGAGTTTATTTAGATGGAACTAATATTCAGCATAATAACCGGCATAATGTTTACTTCATTGTTAACAAACTATTGGCTTATGTAATCTATAATAATTTTGTGTAAACTCTTCCACATTATAGACTGCACTTGTGTTGAAACATCTATTTTTCAGTGATAAAAATTTATTATTCTATATAAATACTTTTATTAAACATGCATTATAATCTCTGCAGTTATTGGGCTAGGTATGTTTTGTAAACAACTAAATAGAAATTTATTATAACAACAAATATCTACAACCCAAATTTCGTGAAGACGTTAAAAAAAGCAGTCACCACATTTGTTTTTAAAGTTGGTTTGTATAACAAAGTTGTGCTGATTAATCCGGAAACTGACACACATGCTGTATTTTGTATTTGTGAGTCATTTGTTGACAGCGGTGTTTTCCTTCCGTGTACATGTAGTAACCATTTACATAAAGCGACTGCGATCAGAGTTGACGTCACAGAAAAATTGCAACGAAAGTTGCTAGAGTTGAAATTCGCGGCACAAATAGTTCATCTGACGTCACAGTTTCGCGTGTGTTCGCTTTTGCGCCGAGTATGAAAAGCCTTCACAGAGATCACAGATCCTCACGAGTGCTTACTACCCAACTTCATCTTTATGAATTAAAGATGTGCCCTTCCGATCCAAAGGCCTTCTTTTTTAATTCTTTTGATTGGATCAAATGTAGTGACGAAGCCGTCAGAACGGATCGAGTTAAACCCAGGCCTTAAGGTTGTCGGATTAGGATTTGCGATTGGAACTGTTAGATCGGACTGGTGTCCTTTAATCCGATCCAACGTACACTATTGTTGTATACATGTGTCGTGAAACATATGAATTGTGTGGTTTATATACAACGTCATTTTTGTAAAATGTGCTTTGTTGCTTAAGATATACAATTATGCTCTTCAAAGGAATTCACACATGGAGCATAAAAATTAGTTTGCAGAAATACCCAAAGATACAAGAATTATTAAGTGGAAAATAATTTATGAATAAAGTCGAAAAAATTCGTTGCGAAAACAAACAGAACCAAATAGCGTTCAAGTACAATTTTAACGCACTTCCATCTTGATGCTAAACATTATTCACGAATCGACCGATTACAATACCTTACACATATGTAACAGCCAAGACAGATTGCCTGAGACTATATAAGGCTGTATGCAGATCCTGTGATTTGTGAGCTACGACTTTAGCATGTTTTCTCTTCGTGTGCTACAGTTAGACGTAGCTGTTCTTCACAGCACCCGTCTTGGACACAGCCTAGGGAAATTTAAAACTATTTCAGCTCAGCAAAAACTGGTCCTCAGCCACGTCTTGTGATCAGAAGTATTGTTGAATCGTTCGCAAAGTTTGACCAAGCACGTTATTTGATAAGCAATATTCTATAGCCTGCTGTCATCTCTATGAACGGAAACGTGCAAATCGGGATAGTATTTGGCGAATACGATGCTTTCCTGCTTACTCAGTTTGTGCAGTTAATTCTATTCAACCATACAATATTCACTTTTTCTATAAATGTTTAACAAAACAGTGATATTAACCAAAATTTCGTCAGTACTCTTTGTAATTTATATCAATTCACTCATGGTTATCCGGAGAGCAATAATTCCTTTGAAATGCTGGATACACCTGCCCAAATCGAATGGCATCCATGTGTAGTTCACTATAGATACATGAAACAAAAGGTTACATGAATATAACTGCAAGAGAACCGAAGTTCAAATCCTCGAGATGGTTTCGTTCATAAGCTTTATGAGACACGCAGAAAAAGGTGGTGTCAACCAAGGAAAAATGTTAGAAGTCCTCGGTAGTGGAGCACGCATTTGTCGCCCTACCTGATTTCATCCAGTGAGGAAAGCTATTCCTCAGTTTACAGGCTTAGTTGCTAGTCAGGAAGGGAAAGTGCGGGAGGGTGTGTGCTTTCTCTTTGTGAATGTGGCTCCACATGACTATCAATGCGGCGATTGTTTAGAAAAAATGTTCTTTCTAAAATGTCTACTTAGCTAATACATAATTTTAAAATCGATTATTTATCAACATGCTAAACATTAGCGCCTTGAAGTAGTAACTTAGGCTTCGACTAGAAGTCAGCAAATATGTGAGAGCCATTATTCCGTGCACTCCATTTTTTAGGTGATCCAGGGGATTTTGTGGGCACGAAACTGACGTCGAGCATATAATATGATTTTGTGTTCATCAATAGACTTCGGCGAAGGAAGTTCCTGAGTGCGATTATTTTCTGAACGTTACATCGGGGACTCTGCTTCTTGTTTGTTCTGTCCTTTGATCATGGACTGTATGCGCACTTCCAAGTTGTACCTCAGTTGGTTGCACTGTATGCGCACTTCCAAGTTGTACCTCACTTGGTTGGACTGTATCCGCACTTCCAAGTTGTACCTCACTTGGTTGCACTGTATGTACACTTCCAAGTTGTACCTGTTTTCGTTGGACTGTATGCGCACTTCCAAGTTGTACCTCACTTGGTTGGACTGTATGCGCACTTCCAAGTTGTACCTCACTTGGTTGGTTTTGATCTGTTTGTTTGTTTTAATGTTTGTTTTAATGCGTGATTACTCCTTTTTACTCCAATTTACAACAACTGTTGGATTAAAGTCCCTCTAAGGTTGACCTGAGATTGCAATGCACATCTTAGTTTCTTTTCCAACGTTTGTTCAAACAGACCACAATCAGCCTGAGGTATCAGTACACAGTGTTTGTAATTGTAGGGGAAATGATCTACCAATACTCACGCCAAAAGCCAGTGTTGGTATTAACTTTAACAGCGGAGTAGTAGGTGTCGTTGCCACAGACAAACTCAACGTTAAACCTGTGACTGGCAGCCCAACCAGGACTCGTCCATTTGCCCTATGTACTCGCTGATGTTTTGCCACTCTTCTTGGCTATTGAGCCTCAACTGACTGGCAAGCTGTTTGTGCTTCTGCCCAGGATAGACTCTGGCTGGGAGTACTCGCGGAGTCTCCAGTAGTTTTCAACTTGTTCATGACCAGGCTTGAAATGTAGCAACTTTCTGTAAATTGGTGCCAGTGCTGTGGGCACACAACTTGTATATTTAAGGGGACCAAAATACCAGAACTGGGAACTCATAATGATAGACAACGCAGCAGAAATTTGCCATCACAGCTTGCGGCTTCTTAAAACCGTAGGCCCATCACTCGCATTGATTTACGTGTATGTATCTTACTGGTGGAACTGTAGCAATCCATAAAAGGCAATGCATTGAGGTTCTTTTTTCCAACTGCAAAATGACGATAAATATACAAAAAACAAACAGTTTTGAAACTTACCGATTTCTGATCCCAAAGTTGCACAGAATTTCACGAATACAATTAAACTGTACACTGCTTC